TCAACTGTAAAATACTTTGACCTGTTATTTATTATATTGGTGGTAGGGCACTTGGTTTATGAACCACTTACACGTAGACGGATTTAATGTGGAAATTACTTTTATCAATTACATCTCAGGCATATAATGCCGATGACTGCATAACATGATTTTAGGGCTAGGTATATAGTTTAGACATTTCCAGGAGCCTTACATTGTCGCAGCATTTGAACACAACTGACCAATACAGAAGTAATTAATTTTTGATTTATTACTAAATTGTATTTAGAATGTCTTTTTTATTTTTTTATTATGACACTAAGTGATTGGACGAACAAGTCGTGCGCCTGGTGGGAATCGACACGCCTGTCCATAACAGTTACAGTGCCACTCTATTAAACTCTGAAGCTCTGAAGCTTTAAATCGTAAAAATCTTAAGGGCACTGCGCCCGTCACCCTGAGGCATAAGTTGAGAAGTCTTATGTGCCTGTAATTTCACCAGTGCCTTTATCATTCAAAACTGGAACTCAGTAATGCTAACATTACTGCTTGGTGGCAGAAATAGGTAAAGAGACAGTAGTCCCCCTGGACGAACTCTTTTACAAGGACCTCTAATGCTACTAAACTGAACGAACCAATTTTGCGCTTGGTGGTAAACGACATGCCTTTCCAGTCACTCACAGCCACTCACTTCAAGGTCTGAGGGGTATTGCCACTGCGCCCGTCACCTGAGACATAAGTTGACAAGTGTCATGTGCCTGTAATTTCACCAGCACTTTTACGAGATTTTGATGAATTCTTTCACAAGCTGCTAAACGTAAATTAGACATCAAGTTATCCATTGATTTTTTTAATTCGTCTTTCTAATGATGGTGAATTTGACGTTCTTAAGATAGGCAGTTATTTTAAAAAGCCTTCTAAATCTTTCGAGACTAAATCTACATCTCCTTGAAGTCCAGAGTGTGGTCGATCAATATAAATTGATACACTGATCACATAGCATAGAACGTGTAATCGTAATCCACAAATCCACAAATCCATTTATTTCATTTGTGATTCATGAATTACATTTAAGCAGATCGTTTGCAAATTAATTATAAAACAATTGTATAACAATTCAGCAGTAAATACGCAGTAATTGAGATTACAAAAGGCAATCGCGGTCGGCAACAGTCGGGTATATTCGGGTTTGCTAGTGACGTGAAAGTAGCGTACCCTGAGGGCTCACTTTGTTACGTTTTCGTATAAAGTGGTATCGTGTCTATGGCAGGCTTTAGATGATTGCTTTGTGCCTATTAAAAGCTAAAGCAGGCAACAGATACGGTAACATTTAGACTTGCTCTAATCGAAAGAACAGATACACAATTTATGTAACAAATTTACAAAAAAAGAAAGGTTATGTTTCAGGTTTCTGTTTAATACCACCGAAACTTTGATTTTGTGGCTGCCATAGTGGTATTTACATAGCTGCCTATTTACATGGGCAGCAGACACAATTACATTATGTCCTGCAAATCCTATACATTTCTAGGTTCTTCGTCATCAATTTGTGGAAAAAAAATTGTACGTTTATAACCATAAATGCAAATTTCAACTTTTCGTTGTAAAGGAAAATACATTTTTCATGTTAGAACCATCGAGTTTAAAACCAGATATAGAGATGAAATAAGGGCTGATAAATTCGAATTCGGGCTGGCCAATCGGAGTGCAATTGTCACCGTAATGATTTGGCAAAATAGTTTTCAAACAAATTAAATGACATTTCGTTTTTATTTTAGTTATATACTCGGTGGTTAGAACTAATAACTAAATGATATTAACTCAGAAACAAAAATCGTGTTACAAAGGCATTATTATTATTCAACCGTTTATTCAAAAGTAATAAAAAAGATTTTTCGTTTATTTTATTTATTAAGGCTGTGTCTGTACAAATATGGTATCCAGTAAAAGTTATTTTGAAGTTGTTATTCATATTGAAAGTTGTTTACATATCTGGCAATATATGACAACTCCGAAAATTTTATTTGTCACCGTATTCATTTCATCGAGCAATACGCAATAAAATGTTATATTGTGAAATTTCTTCATTTTACTCTTATGTATTAGCATCTAGAATTGTCAAAATAATTAAACCATAAAGCAAGGCAGAAATGAAAAAGTAACAAACTTTACTGGTTACTTTTCATAAATAAATATTTGTATACTGTTAATATCTGCATTGATTATTTAAGAAAATAATTAAAAAGAGCCCTGGGCGGTTGATTTCCATAGATAATTAAATAAATTTGTGACTTTCTGAAGACAACTGTCAAGAACAGGATCTATTTTTGTTCTCTGAATTAATATTTTGTTTACCAGGTTTTTCATGAAAATGAATCTTTTCATATTTTGACGACATTTTTATATAGATTAATAAAAATGTCGTTAAAAACCAAAAACAAAGATTTGCAACAAGCACATTGAAAAATTTGTAAAGTACGCTAGTTCGTTCCGTGGCTTAGTTGGCATAGCGTCTGACACGGTTTGCTGGAAGACGTTGGTTCCAATCCAGCCGTATCGAAAGAATTTTTTCTAAGTGTTCGATCTTTGTATTAATAATTATAACAAACTAGTATCGTCGTAGTCGTATAGTATTTAATGGAGTAATTTCTATCAATATTTATAATCATGGTGGTCAAACATTCATTATTTTAAAGATTACGATTAATATCTTACGTTTGTAGGACAACCAATAAAACTATGAAAATTTGTATAGTACAGTAAGCTACTCGGCTCTAGGTGGTAGTTAATATAATTACAATCTAAACAAGAACCATCGTAAATAACGGGGAACGACGAGAAATCTATATATGAAATATGATGACATGGTTTTATTATACCAAGGGTACAAGTAGCAGAAGAGCTCCTTGTGAAAGAGCTCGTCTAGGGAAGTACTGCCACCTTACCTATTTCTGCCGCCAAGCACAACAACACAGACATTATTTTCTTTATAGAGAATTATTAGGACGCTAGAAAAAGAACAAGATGAAACTATCAAATAACTCAACCCGAAGTAGGCACAACGATGTTAGTAAGTGGTAAGGCAACACGCATCACAGCGTCATATTAAATAATCGCGCGCGCCGTTGGGCAGCCGCTGGACCGCGCAGTATTCGATCCGGATCGACTTACAATCTGCAAACACTTTCACACCTCACACTTTTATGAAATTCTGTTATTCAGTAAATTCTGGTTCAGCTAGGTACAGTTTAGTAGCAGTAGAGCTCTTTGTGAAAGCGTTCGTCCAGGGAAGTAATGCTACTTTAACTATTTCTGCCGCCAATTAGACATGTGCGCATTACTGTGTTATGGTTTTGAGGGGTAAGACTGCTAACAGATTGACTGCATATTTGCAGTTAATGCGTGAAGTCGTAATCAACTTCAGGCCGAGACCGCCACTGCTTGAAGTTGATAACGACTACATGCATTAAGTGCATAATATAGTCGATCTCGGCTGCATGAAGTTGGTTTCGTTTGCTTGCAGTTAATGCGTGAAGTCGTTATCCGTGACCTAGACTGTATGAAATTGATAACGACTTCACGCATGAACTGCATACAAGCAGTCAATGTGTTAGCAGCCAAAGACTGCTAGTGAAATTACAGTCACATGAGACTCAAGGTAACGGGTGCGGGTAGTCCCCCTTTCATCATTGCGATTTAAGGTTCTGATTCTACAACTGCTACGAACAGGCCTGTCGCTTACCACCAGACGTTGTTTGTCATTTTGTAAGCAAAGCAATTTAATGTTATATTGGATAACATCACATACGTTGCTCTGATCCCAAAGTAAGTAGTTAAAGCACTTGTGTTGTCTATATCGGAAACAATGACGGTACCACAAACACCCAGACTCAAAACAATATAGAAAAGTTAGTTTTCTAGCTGGGGTTCGAACCCGTGACATCAGAGATAGCGACACCATGAAAACCAGTGTTCAATCCGCTTGGCCACGAAGGCCGTCATTAATTCTTATGATGTTTTCCTTTACTACTATTTATTGTCTGAAGAAAAAGGGTTATGATCACTGCTTCTTTAATTACGTTTTTTCTAATCGCAATATGGAATAATCAAATAATAGCCTAATGTGTAATCTACTTGCAATATACTTTGCGAATATAATCTGAATTATATTTTGTGTGCATTGAGCGATTTGAGACAGTTCACTGCATTCGGTTTCGGTATCTCAATACCAAAAAATGTGTAAAACGTTGCAAATTAACTGTTACTGCAACATATATACATATATATTCCCCGGCTGAAATAGAAGCAAAACCTAACGAAAGAACGAAAACTAACCTCAAGGATCTCTATTCCACTGTTCGTCGAATCAGTTATCGGTCATCCGGGATCGAAATTAAAAATTCCATAACTCGGAGCGATGCTGCATTTACTTATGTCGGGAGTTGGAAAAATCCTCAAAGCCACCTAATTGGATACAGTACAGACCACTACAAAGGGGATGTTTGAGATAAAAATGAAAATTAAATCTTCCAACTGGATGGGCAGAGTAATGTTTTTGACGGTACCGTAGGCGGGCTCCCCCCGAACCGCGGCTCGTCGCCTCTCCCCGCCGGGGGAGCCGCAAATCGACTATCAAAATGGTGAAAAAAGTTGTTGTTGCCAGACAGTGTGACCGGCGAGCGGCTGCTGTCGACTGTCTGCCCTTTTTGGTGGTTTGTTTTTAATTAAATAGCGTACGATGATATGCAAACTTTATTATAAATTCTGGTTTTCGAAATTTGTACGGCGGATTTTGTTAGTTTGACAACAAGTTTAAAACGGGTCAACGAAATATTTGCTCATTACGAATTCTGAGCAAGCGTCCTCGTAGAACTAGTATAAATAAATTTAACTAAATTTAGTGCTTTGACATGAATAACTGTTGAAATAGCACAAAATGGCGTTTAATTTTTTGGAACTCAGATATTCTAAGTGTTACTTTAAAACATTTTGTCAAGAATTCATGAATAACATCCACTTACCTTTCTTCATTGGCATTTCGCCTCCGTTGCATCCAATAGCTTGTGGTTGAGGACTCAAACTGTGCAACTGGTATGGAGGGGTTCTGGTGTCAATCTGCGCCGGCCAGGGAGCCCTGGGCCACGTGGGTGCGGACCCTGGGGCCCCTAAGAGTCGCAGCCTCTCGTAGACCGGTGTGGTACACTCGGAGGGAGGTTGCTGGCTGCTGGATTTTTCCTTTTGAGCTGCTAGGTTGCGAAGTACGCGGTTTATTGATGATACCTGATGAAAAATTATAATAAGAAATTAGGCAATTGGAAAGAGGCTGTCGTTGCATTATTTGCATTCCAATTTCTTCTTCTTTCGAGCCCTTTATAGGTACCAAATGTCCCAAATGTCAACCGTGACCATGGGACCTGTAAAGGGCCCGAAACGTCGGTATGTTTGAAAAAACAAATATACGCGATTTAAACTCGGAAAAATAGCTTTTTTTTACGTTTATGCTTTTGTAATGTTTTAAATCCCTTACACAAAAAGAGAGAAAAAGAGTGTCTGTCATCTATCTATGATTCCAAAGGGATGGACTGATATTAAAGCGTTTTTTATTATTATTTGAAGGCTAATTTAACAATGAGCACACATATTCAGCTGTTCAGCTGTTTTCGCAGTTACTTTAAGGCTGTCGAACTCAAAATTTTCATTATAGTTCTGTACCTGTACCTGTACACAGTACTTATAATGTGTATTACAGTTCTGTACACAGATCTATAATGAGTTAAAAAAAATGCATTTGTTGTCATGGATTGTTAACAAAATATACATTAAATATTTTTATGTTTCATTATTTTATGTACTCGTAGAAAAAGTATTCTATTCAATAATTACATAATTAGGTATAAAAATCACGTACCTATTATTTAGGCCACCCGACAAAGTCTCGTGGCCTAAACACGGTACACGACTTTTAGAATCCTCATTATGCAACGATTGCATAAAAGACTATTTTCGAACTCAAATAATCTTCATTTCATTAGTAGTAGCTGTAGAACTCCTTGTTAAAGAATTTGTCCAGAGAAGTATGCCACCTGACCTATTTCTGCCACCAAGCTGTAAAATGAGTATTACTGCGTTTAAGTTATGAAGGGTAGGCGCTGGTGAAATTATAGGCACATGGGACTTTTCAAGTCATGGTGAAGAGCGCATTGACAGTGACCCTCAGATCTTTGCGATTTAAAGCTCTGAGCGGCACTGCAACTGTTACAGACAGGCGTGTAGCTTACCATCAGGCGCGCGACTTGTTTGTCCCGTACTTGTTATCATAATAGTAGTTTATGTAACTGTTACATAATTAAAGGCATTAAAATACAGTGAGGGTTTATAAAATGAGCCGACAGGCGAGTAATAACATCTCACGAGTGTTTTAATGCCTAATTATGTACAGTTGCACTCATTGCTTTATCTACACACATATTATAAGGTCTCTGTGATGTGTTCAGGAACAACATGTTACGACTGGCGAAATGACGGCAAATAAAAACTCTTCTCACGCATCTCATACAACCGTAGTTTTTATTTTTAATTTATAGACAAACTAGAACCGGCCCCAACTATCATATCATTCGATATCAAGTAATGTGTGTAATTGTTAAAATTGTTTGCTAGTGACATTTCATTTCGAATAAAACTTCATCTCGACTGATATTAGAATTGAGGTCTAATCAAATTGTTTTGTTTTTCGGAGATGTTCGAAATTTGAACGTATTAATAACATCAAATTCGATGTTAGAAGCAATAATAACATTTTTACAGATAAGAAATTAGTTGCAACAAAACAGTTTACCTTTATGCTGGTCGTAATTTGCGGTTTTTGAACACAAGAGAGTTTATGATAATTGAGCAGAAAAAAACTTTTAACGTATAATCGCAAGTAGCTTTATTATACCAAGGTCTTTTTTGTACCATGACAATCTCTTCCGCGTTTTAACCGGTCCGTGGCGATTAGCAGTACAGTTAATGTACGACGGTTAATCGACTAATTCACTTTCTCATTTCTATGGAAGAATTTCAAAGTCACCTTACCCAAGTATGTAGGTAAAAGTAATTATGGAAAAATGCCATATTCATAATATCATGTTGTCAACAAAAACATCCCAAGTCAACTCGATACGTTAGAGAGTATCAAGGACAGGATGATATGCACGGTGCGGACAGGCGTGCTTGAATTAATTCCCATATTTCTTTTAAATTATGTAGCAGATAATGAAAGATGAGTGTTATTTATGAGGGACGAATGAGATCGTCTTAAAATTAATAAATAAAGTCTGATTTATAAAGACAGAATGCCGAACAGTGTAATAAGAGAGCGTTGTGCTATGAAAGATGATAATGAGAATAAGATGATGTACGTTACATATACACTTACTACATACACACACACCCACACACACACTTTGTATACTACGATATATATTAGAATAATAACGCATAGAAACCTAGTCCGCACACGATAAGTGAGGCAAATTGAAGCGCGCCCAATGGGCCTACACGAGTGGGCGGGCCTTCAGTGCTCAAGGCCAACTTGCACTGCGAACAGATCAAGAATTTTAGCTAAAAATGACGAAATGTGCTGTAAATGAGTGTAAAACTACGTCAGACAAACATAAAATAAATAGATACTAACATCACATTCCACAAGGAAGTAACGCGTTTCAACTTGTATTTTTATATAAATATTCACTAAAACCGAAAATTAACATACTACTAAAAGTAGCCTACATGAATTTGATTTTTGTCTCACTTGTGACAGTTCGTTTGATATAAAACTATCATTCTATGCGTTATTATTCTAAGTATATATATATATATATATATCGTAGTAGTAGAGTTGTCCAATCAGTAACGTGAGCATTATTGTGTTTCGGTTTTCAGCACTTACATATCGAATAGGTCATTTTAAGTGCATTCTCTTCACATTATTATTCTATTATTTCAATAAACAGTTTCATTTCTAGTCTTAAAGTAATTAATAGTAATATTTTTACACATAGTTCCTCTCATTGGTTCTGATTGAAAGTCAGCTGAGAACTTAGGCATATGCAAAGTCAGCGCCCTTTCACTGCTACGACAAAAATGTTTTATTTTTCCTTTTGCATTTAATCTATTTATATATGTCTTTAAGACGGAATGCCGAACAGTGTAAGAGAGTGTTATGGTATGAAAGATGATGTAGAGATCAGGATGGAGAGTGGGTGCTTCGACGGTTTGATTATGTAGAAAGAATGAATGTTGGTAGATTGATGGCACAAATTCATGGAGTGAATATGGATGGAGGTAGACTTCGGGGTTCATAAAAACGACGGGTTAAAAGTACCAGAATAAACGGGCATGTGTGAAGAGGCTGTGGGAATAGAGGAGGCGAATGAGGTTTGTCAGGAGGTGAGGAGAAGAAGGAGATTCCATGCAGAATATCAGCGTTGCAAATTTATAAAATTGGCAGCATTGTGTTGAGCCGAAACCTTTTTAGTACATTATTTGTTATAACTTACCATTTCTGGTTGTATCTTATATATAATACTGCAATGTAACGTGTGGAATAAATGCTTTATCTATCTATATATGTATGATTTATTCATCGTAACTTCTAGTTTTCGTGTTAGACAAAAAAGCATTCGATTAGTATGTGATACTTTATCTTTATTGGCAGTGTGTAGTTTTCATATTCTCTAACGTTTAGGCGCAATTTACATTACATTTACATTTACATTTTACATTGTCGCAGAATGGAATAGAAGAATATTTATTTTGTATATAGCATAATTAACTTTATGTTAGCTGTGTAACGTACAAACTAGATACGAGACGGCAGCCGCGATAGTTTCCGAGACTGCGCGAGAATTTCCCGGAAGACGCGGGACCTGCTTTTTGGCTTGTATCTAGTTTGTACGTTACACAAGTGATATAAAATTTATTATGCTATACACTATTTCGGTACCTAAATTTCCAACCATTTCGTTCCACGACAATGTAAATTGATCCAGACTTACATAATTTCAAGAAGATAATGAAAATGTTTAAATTAGTATCAGATTTATTTCAACTTAGATATCCAAGATTACGTCAAGAAAACCTCTTTTGAATGCGAGGCCACCCGGACCAGCGTCCGGCAGAAAAACCAAAAAGTGTCGCACCAACTGTCACGAGCATGTGACGTCACCGGCGTAACTTAGACGTAGGGCAGGAAGGCCGCAAGATAGATGGTAACATGATACGCAGCCGCGCGGTGGTCCGCGCACTGTGCTGATTGGCAGCTGACGCCATGCCCGATGGACCGAGAAAGCGCGCCACGTTCGAAAAGAACACGTTCTTTTTTTTTAAAAAAAACAAGAAACATCTCCTTTGTCTAGCACGAGATTCGATAACGGTCAGTCTTTTTCATTTTAATAAAAACTAGGTCGACCAGTATTAATTACTGATTCCAACTTCGAAAATATCAAAATAATGATGGATTGGCATTCGTTCGAATGAAACATTATAACAACTCAATTAAAAGTCAACAAACATCGCACCAATCGTTAAGAAAGAAAAATCCTTTAAAAGGGTTGTAGCGAAGTTTTCTTGCAAATGAAATGTAAATTTTTAACAAGCTTGACAAAATGACTGAGACGGAGCCAATGATTTGAGCCAATTAAAATACTTTCTCTAATTTCGCTAATTGTTGCAGGCAATTTACGTTTTTGTAATTGGAAACAAGGTTCCTTTTGTGAATATTACATACTGGATTATAAAACTAATTTCGCGTAGACAGGGACAGGCGACCCGTGCTCAAGCCTGGCCATGTGTGAACAGGCGTCTGTGCACTGGCCGTTTGTAAAAAATAAACTCCACGCAAAGTACAGGCCCGTAAACATTCCCTTAATTCGAATTACACAGATCGATTGACTTGTTTCCACGATTGTATTTAATACCTCAATTAGTAAACCCTTTAACGTGTTTGTATGTGTTTACATGAACAAATTTGCTTTTAAAAAATCATAAGCTCGTACAATAGGTGCACTTTTCGAGCGATTGGTTGCAAAAGCGTTTTTACGGATTTGGAGAGTGTACGGTGAATTAAGTTTTTAATTTGATTTGGTTCAGATATTTCGGTTTTCAAGGACCAGTTCTCAGCCCACTATTGTAACAGACTTTATAGGATTAAAAGTTACAAGTGGTGTAGCAGTTTTTAATGGATCTACTTGGATTAAAGGCGACAAGTGGTTCTCACTTATATTTCTGTAGTATTC